AACCAAGATGCATCATGTAAAGGTACAGTTCCCAATGAGAAATGTAGTTGTGTTGTATACCTACAATGAACCAATAAAAGAATTTAATAAAAAAAAAAGAATGAAGTACAAACCCTCAAGTGACAAGACAAATGTAAGACAAAATCCTAACTGAATTTGCTAACAGTAGTTTCATTGAGAAAGTGAGATCAGAGACCTTAAAGAAGGTCAGTATTCGAATCAGTATTTGTTGTCCTCTTCTGTTAAGTCAGTATTTGCTGTCCTCTTTTCTCTTTGACTTTAAGATTAGAATAACCTTGTTTAAACCTCAGTTACTTTAGCACGGTATCACTACCAATAACTCTGTTAGGTCTATGCCAAGCAGTTTCCACAAATCTTAATTTTCTCATAATCCTGTAAATGCAAATTGCTTATACTTATTTTACTTGTGGGAGAATTGAGATTTATAAAAATCACAAGTGTAGTAATTAGCAGTCCTTGGGTTTAATTTAATTAAGCCAAAAGATAAAGAATATTTTATGACCATTTTGTACTTTTTTCCTTAGAAGATAATTATTAGTGATTTTGTGGACATTTCTTTTCTCCAAGCCTAGAAGAATTGAGACTGGTTAATTTTATTTTAAGCCTTTGAGCAGCAATTTGTCAGGATAACATAGTCTGCAATGCTAAACAGAGAATGCAACGTTTTTTGGCCTTTTCAAATTCCTATCAGTTAACTTGGTCTAAACAAGTAAATTTCTCTTTATCAGAAACTTCATAATTTGCTCACTTAGCATGAAATGACCTCCTGTAGCCAATACCATAGTTATCTCCACTGCAGAAGGAGGGGGAAGATTGATTTCTGGTCTGTAGTGAGTTGGCCTGATGCGTGACATGAGAGGCAGGATTCTGCACACAAAGGTTAGCTACTGTATTTACTGAATGACTCATCAGGACAAGAATGTGGGTGAAAAGCCTCTCCAGCAGTGACATTCTGCAGCTGTGCTCTTGTCTCTACAGCTGTAGTCTGCAATCAAGAGAGGATAAAGTGGCTCTTGCTGAAGTGAAGACCCCCATCATCTATATTCTCTGAATGCTTCGTCAGGCAGAGACACAAGACTATATAACCAATGAGCACTTTTTTTAGTCTAATAGTTTTCCAGATTTATTCTCTGTCCAATAATATGTGGCCTTAAGGGTCTTGGTAGTTCTCAGAATTAACTGTGTATGTGACTGACTAGAGGCAATTTCAGTAGTAAATTCCCCTGGCTTTAATGCAGGAATTGCTAATTCAGTGAGCCTGGAGAAAAAACCGTGTTATTCACATAATGTTCTCAAAAAGTATAACACAGAGAAAAAACTTCACAGAATTACATGTGTATAGTTCATGTAACTATCACCAAGTGTACACACTCACTCGATACTTTTTGTTTTATATTTTGGAAAGATTTGTCTATCTCAAGATTCTCCTTTTTTCAGAATTGATTCTCTGTGATTCTGAAGCATGTGCAGAGCAAGAGGCTCCACTTTTGAGTATGTGAAAGTTATTATATAATGTCAAATATCAGAAAAAATGTTTCAGATCTGAGTTGATGACAGTGAGGTTTGGTCCAGCACTAAGAATGTCTTACATAAAGCATTAAGTTAAAAGGGAGGGATTTAAGAATTAAAGTCTGATATCAATGCCTGTTAAGAATGGATGGGGTTGATGTAGAGTTAGTGAAGAGTGAGTAAAGTCACATTGCCATTTCAAGGTCAAAATCTGGGGAAGCAGACTCGAGCAGGTTTTAAGTTTCTGATTCAGAGCTGCAAGGGGATAGGGATAACGGAATAGAATGCTAGATTGAGTAGAGACTGGAGAATTAAGGTGTAGGCCATACTATGGGGCGGTATTCTCCACTTTGCCATTTGATCATGATATACTCCTTTTATTTCCCCTCCCTCCTTGCTTTAATGAAGTGTTTTAAACCCCCTGCTAACCTGCAGTCTTACCACATTTTAGAAAGCTGTCCTGTTGTTATATTTAGGGGTTTTTTTTTTTTTTTGGTTAAAGTTCAGTGAGTCACGCTAGGAAAATATGTTTTATCTTGGGAAAGAAGGCAATTCATTTTCCATCCCAAGTTGACTACTTATATTTTTCAATAAATTCTAGTTTGATCCTTTTTACACTTGATCTTAGCCAAAAGGTTGAGAAGCGATTAGTTTGATCCTTTTTAAGACAAGTGATATTACCTTTGGAGCTACTAAGATCTCACGTTTTGAGTCAAACTTGTGTGGTTTAAATTCTTACCTGGGATCTTGGAAAAATTACTTAATTGCTCCGTACTTCAGTTCCTTCAGTTATTAATTATAGATTATAATAACTATTCCTCGGGATTAACATAAGGATTAAATAAATTAATACATTCAAGTTGCTTATTAGACACTATGATGCAATATTTTTTGATTCCTTACAACTAAAAATTAAATTGATGATTAAAGTTCAAGGCAATGTCAGTTATAAATTCAGAGATCCTTAAATATTCCATATGCTTCTGGTATAATTTAACCTCCACCCCTACTCAATTTTTGCCCAACAGAATAGTAAGTATTGTCCAGTTACTCAAGACTTACAGGCCTGAAGAAACACTGTCAGAACCTAGTAGAAATCATTTCAAGGAAAATTATACCAGACGTTGAGTGACAAAGAGCTGCTCCTTGCTGGCACTGAAGAGCAGTGCATGAATCCTTGTACTTCTACAGGTCACCAGTGAGTCCCTCTCATTCTGGCACAGCAGGACTCTGAGTTGCAGGGAATTGTGAGACCAATTTCACAGAGGGCAGGGAGCCCCACAGCACAAAGCCACAAGCGCTCCCCCTCATGGTTGGTGCCTAGAATTCCATCCACAGACCTTTGAAATCCTATTAGGATTATTATTATTAGGATTTCAAAGACTGATTTCTCTAAGAACATTAGTACTGTGTGGATCCTTAACAACCTCTTGTATTTTCTGAAAAAAATCTTGCTGAGGAATAAAGGAGGTTTAGATTAGAATCTCAAGATAAAAGTTGAAAAGATACTAGAAAGTTGGCAAAAACATACAAGATAAAGACACACTGAAGGCCAGATACGTTGAGCTTGTAATTCCACATGAAGCCAACACTGGCTATCTGGAGGCATAGACAATGATCCTATGCTCACCCTACTATCTGGAATGGACAAAAGATCATTTTCTGGGCTGAAAATCCACTGTTTGTCAAGTTGAAAAATTGATTCTCTTTCATGACCTGTCACACCATCTGGTGAGTAACAATGAGCTCATCCCCCTTCACTTACTCCAACATTTGATGTTTAAAAGAAATGGTCATAAAAGTCTTAATTAATTCTGGTTAATTTGGATTTGACCAAAAATCATAGGATATATCCCAGTTTTCAAAGGAAAATTCTTTCAGGAGAATGCTAGGTGAATGGCTGCCCAAGCTGAGAGAAAACTGACTAGTTGGTGGAGGGATTTTTTGTGTGTGTGTGATGGCAGCCATAGCAAAATCACTCACAGTATTCAGGAAGTCGACAGAGTTTGCTGTTGGCGAGCTCAAAGCTTTCTGAGCTCCAGAGAATTATTTTCTAATTATTATAAACACGATATGGTAGGAACAAATGTTGTTGGCTTCAACCAAGTGTATAATTGATTGAAAAGTTCAGCCCAGTGTAACTGTAAAGAGGCCTTGTCTGTGGGGCCACTGCTGGGAATACACAAGTGGGTAAAGGCCAGATTTTCTCTTCTGTGTGGGATTTGGGAGTTTGATTACAGGCTCTGTCTTTGGAAATTAAGAGCTGTTGATATTCAAGGATAATAAAGGAAAGGCCTTCCAAGAACACTGGGGTATGTAGGCTAATTGTATCGCTGTAGCCTATTGCCCTGAGGGTGTTGGCAGCTGAGGCCACATGATATGACTAAAATGTTAAAAGAGCAGATGAACATTTACTAGCTGGAAAAAGTTTATCCTGATGACCAGTTCCACTCTCCTGATTAGAAAAAACGTTGGCTGTCTTTCACAGGGGTGTTCAGAAGATAGAAAATAAAACAGGCTCTGTGAAGTGGGTGGGAGGGTGAGAAAGAAATAACAGTCCCAGCAAAGCAGCCCAAGTAGAAAAGGGTCATGCGAGGAAGTTGAAGCATTTGAATGCTCTTGCGGAGCTGGACAGTGGAATGTTCTCAGGCATATTTCGTGGTTGGTTTTGCAGTTGCAGAGAGAAGGAAGAGCTGTGGATCCCCAGGGTGCGCCTCTGAGTGCCAGTTCTAGGGTGTTACTCAGCCATGCTTGTGGTTTGTCCCAACATGAATAGCGTTCCTGGGAAACATCTGAAACCACATTATTCGCCCATTTGAATTGTGAATCCAAAATAAATTTTAGCCATTACAGTAGCATATATATTTTCAGGGCAAAAACATGTCACCAAACTGGAGGGTGTCTGTGGCCCTCAGAGTCATTATGAAACAAGAACCGGTTCCTCTCCTAATTATGAGAATCAGGGAGCCCTGGTGTATACTCCAGCTTTCTGTTGCTCTGCCATCTCCTTGGTAGCATCACAAAGCTACTTCATGCCCTTGGATGCCTTCCTTGGATTTAATCTGGAACTCACCCTGGGGACAGAGGCACAGTCATGCTTGTTCCTGCTTTGGGTTTTGCTGTTCCACATCTCTGATGACCTCAGTGCTTTGCTCCCTACTTCTTTGCAGCTCATTCAGCTCATCTCATTTTCATTTGACAGCAGCCTATCATCCTCTTGACTGATAGAGGAACACATGAATGGGCTGTTGTCTAAAGCTTCTTGACTACACATCACATGGATCTCATCTTCAGATTTCCTGGGGTTCTGGCATGTGCCAGAGAATGCCTGTGTGACGTTGGACATTACCTAAGCTTTCTTTTTTTTTTTTTAAACTGTATATCCTTTTATCTGTACATTTTAAGTATACAATATAATGACATTCATCATTGGAAATTTGCACCTCTACATGCTCACTTCGTTCTTATTTTTTCCCCTTTCTCCTGCCCTCCCTTAAACCCCTCTATCCCTCCCTATTTACAAAGACTATGTTTCCAGTGTTTCATTTTCTCATATTAATTCCATTCCCTTCTTTCCTTTCCCCTACCCCTCCCACTTCCCCTTCCCCTTTGCCCCTTTTCTTCCTATTTCA